AGATAGTTTAGTCAATGACTATGGATTATTGCTCTTGAAACGATTCCATTTTTCTAGGGGAAAGTGACATGGTGCTGGTTGGTATGTGGAAAGACCCAGGTTTGCAAGAGCAACATTGTCCTTATTGGAAGTGATTGGAGTCCAGAAAAAGCTCAGTGTTCAGTTTCTTTATGTATCAAAAAACAGATGCTCATCTCCTCAGAGACCATGATAGTTAAATGAGAGTGAAGAAAAATTATTTTTAAGTACAAGGATTTATGCTAACCTTTACCCTTGTTTTACTTCATGGGATTTGAGTGAAAACTTTTGTTCTCTTTCTTTTCTTTATAGCAATGAACAAAAATCAGAACTTTCAAAAAATGTATGTCATTTAAAATGTTGGATAATTTATACAAAAATGAGTGCTCCTTTTAATTTCATCTTTCTATCATATCAGTCTTTTGCCAAAAAAAAGAGAGTAAAATATTATGCCTCGCATGAAGATAGAGTTATATTTGATTATATACTTTATGCTACATGTGTGGTGTTCTTTTCCTTTTTTCTTCTTTTGCTAAACCATTACTTCAGCACTACAAAATAGACAAATAGTAGATACTGTCATTAGATAGCAAGTTAGACCAAGTATGTATAAATATTTTAACACTTTTGGTGCAAAAAGATGAGCTTAATTCATTGACTTGACTCTGTCTCAAAAAATTACATTCTACTAGTCTGAAAATAATCTCATATTCCTGTGGGATGAATTACTTTTTTCTTTTTTTTAAAATATGCATAAGGTTTATGGTATTAGTGAATTGATGTCCTTATATTTCAACTTGTGGTGGGAGTTTTTTTTCCTTTCAATATAAAAATTGCTGAGGAAATAAAAATATGCTATTTCTGTGTGAATATGAACTGATTCTTTAAAAAACACACAAATATGGCCATTATTGTAAACCCAATTTAATTTCAATTTCTACTCATTTTTGGGAGGGCAGATAGGTATCTGTTGGTTTTCCAGGCATAGTGTACAGTTATTTGTGTGTGTGTTTGTTGGTTTTGCTTTAGTCTTTTTCGTCTTGAATATATTTAGTTAAAGAATATATAATGTGGAATTGGACTTGCATTTTTAAATGTTTTGTCATTTTTTTTTTCTCAAGCAAGTGTTCATGTTGGAGCCCAAAAATAGATAAGCCAGAAAAATCGTATGTTAAGTGAAAGAATCAGATATGAAAGAGCAGATAGTGTGTGAATATGAATCCATTTGTATAAAATGTTATAATAGGCAAATTCATAGAGACTAAGTCGATGAATGCTTAATAGGGGAAATAATAGGCAGAGTTTCCTGGGGTGGGAGGGGGAGAGGGTTAGGCACTGAGTGATTAGGCAATTGTGATAGCTCATCAATTTTGAATATGCTAAAATCCAGCTAATTGTACACTACCCTGGCTAAGGCAAACTAGAAAAGAGGATTTGTGCCTTGACCACCTGCTCTTTTCTTCATCCACGCAACCTATCTGTGAGTAGAAGACCTGGATAAGGCTTCAAAACTACTAGCTTAAGAGATAAAAACCTTTACATTGCTGGGACTAGCAGTTGGTGTAATGGTTACACTGCTGAACTCCCATGTAGTCAACCATGGTTCAAGTCCTGGACCTAGCACCTTAAAACTCAGGCTGGACACATGTGCATGTGTGCTCAAAATCCCAAGAGGAAAATGGAGGAGAAGGGATCTCTGCATGGCCGTCCCCCCTGGGAGGTGATTTCTTGCTTTCTGTCCCTCTGGTGAGTACATATGCCCTATAGCCAAAAAAAAAAAAAGAAAGAAAAAAAAAAAAAGAAAAGAAATCTCTCTTGAAATTTTTTAAAAAATCCTTTACGTTACCAAGGGTGGAGATGGCCCAAGTGAAAACTAGAGTCCATTACTTCATCAAGCGTTACACTATATATCAACAGTGTGCCCAAAACAGAAATGGATATTAATTGGGTTGTAAATGTTTATCTTTATAGAAAGTTCTTTCAGCATTTCTATTGTGTTTATCTTTACACAAAGTTCTTTCAGCATTTCTGCTGTGGAAGTCTTCTACTGTTTCCCCTCTTTACCAAGACATTGAGAGGAAACATGCCTATAAACTTAATTCACTGCAGTTGTGATACCCACTACAAAAGATGGGACTGTCCTTGGCATGAGATGATGTATCTCTGCTGCATTGTTCTCAGTCCCAGGTATCCTTCTCTCAGGCTGTCTTTCTTTGCTCCCAACCACATTCTGCTTATCTCTCTTATCCTGCCTTGTGAGATGCCACCATTTCTCCCTTTTCCCTCCCCAGTTTCCTTGGCTTGTTTTTCTTTTCATCAATAGCTTCTCACCACGTTTCTGTTTTACATTTGAAGGGTCTTTATTTATGTAAGTGCAGATCATTTTAGACTTTATTTTCAGTTATTCAGGAAAATATTCATCATTGTGAACCTGAGGGTCAGGCCTGGTGATAGTCTGGGTCTGTCCTTGCTGGAGGTCTCTGTTTTTTTTTTTAATAATGTGAAATGGATGAATTTTAGATTAAACTATCCTAGGCTTATTCATGCCTCTTCTTAGCTTTGCAAGCATAGGGAATGTTTACCAGAAGCACATTATTTCTTTTCTTTTCTTTTCTTTTTTTTTTTTTGGAGAGGTTTTTGCTATAGGGCGCGTGTGCTCACCAGACAGACAGAGAGAGACAGAGAGACAGAAAGCGAGAAATGACCCCCCAGAGGGGATGGCCACGCCGCAATCCCTACTCCTCCATTCTCCTCTCGGGATCTTGGGCACGCACGCACATGCGCCCGGTGTGAGTTTTAAGCCACCGGGTCCGGGACGTGAACCGCTGTCGACCACATGGGAGTCCAGCGACATAGCCATTATGCCAACTGCTGGTCCCAAGCACGTTATTTCTTTAGGTAGAATGGGAGCAGATAGAAAGTAGTAAAATGGTGTACATGTAAAATCAGAATTTAGTTTATTTTACTTGTATTTTTAAAGTTTCTGTTTGTAAAACAAGTTTGTAGGAATCCTGAGCATGTTTGCTGTAAAGGAAGAGATAGAGGGTGGGGGCAGTGAGCAGGTAGCTGGTAAACAAATATATTTATCACTTAGTTTATATTACTAGAGAATAGTTCTCACTTTTTTAAAAAGAATAATTTTATTTATTTATTCATTTATTTTAATTTGATGGGGGAGAGAGGGAGAGAGAAAGAGAGAGAGAGAAAGAGAGAGAAAGAGAGAATGTGAGAAAGCAAACCTCCAGGTCCAAGATTCGAACCACAGTCAGCCATGTGGGAGTCCAGTGCCTTTAGCCACCACACCACTTCCTGACCCCAGTTCTCTCTTTTCTTAGAGATGGATGTGAGGTCTATTTAGTGGTAGATTGGGCAGTCATCTAGGAGAAGGAGGATCAAGGTCTAATTCAGTTTTATGAAGATAATGTAAATGTTTAAAATACATCCTTAGAAGGACTAAACTTGATATTTGTATTGTTGCGTGTGGAAACTAGGAATGGTGATGGAGAGTAGGAAACTGGGGCTTTGAAAACAGTTCATGGGATGGGATGAGGTTGGCATATTTTCAGCCCATCTCACCCTGAACGACTATTGAAACTAATAGTCTTGAAATACGGAAGAAAAAAGTAACATTTTATTTCACCATTAAAAATGTAATCTTGGATGGGCTAGCAGGTAACATGGTGGTTAAGTTGCTGGATTTCCACATGATCTACAATGTTTTGAGTGCTGGACCCAGCAGCTTGAAAATCACACTGGGTGGTTGTGTGTGCATGCCCAAAATCCCAAGAGGAGAATGGAGAAGGGATTGTGGTGTGGACAGTGCCCTTGGGGGTTATTTCTCACTTTCCCTTTCTTTGTCTTTCTCCAATGAGAAAGAGCATACATGCTCTAACAAAACCTAAAAAAAAAAAAAAAGAAAAAAGTGAAACAATTGTATGTCTACATGATTGGAAAAGCACAAGACGATTGACAGTATTTCTTTTCAAGTAGAGTACTGGTATAACCCTGTCCTTTCTCCTCATTTATTGCTTTCTTTTCCAGACTAGAATGTAGTACTCTAGTTTCTGTGGAGCCTGTCTGGGCAATATGGCTAACCTCCATTTATTCTGTTAAGTTAAAACTATAATATTCAGAATAGATCAACATCACTAATATTTTTTTCTTTTTTCTTTTTCTTTTGGAGAGGATTTTGCTATAGGGTGCATGCGTTCACCAGACAGACAGAGACAGAGAGACAGAAAGCGAGAAATCACCCCCCGGGGAGATGGCCACACCGCAATCCCTTCTCCTCCATTCTCCTCTCAGGATCTTGGGCACACACGTCCAGCGTGAGTCTAAGCCACCGGGTCCGGGACATGAACCACGGTCAACTATGTGGGAGTCTAGCAACATAGCCATTATGCTAACTGCTGGTCCCAACATCACTAAATTTTTAACAGCAAATTGCAAATGTTTTCATGATAGGAATCAACCCATAACATTTTCCAAACTAATATTACTTTTTGGCCAAAGATGTAAAATATTGGGCAAATAAGCTAGTTTTAGTTTATTTTCAACAGAAAGTTTAAAAAGTCAGGGCCAGCAAGGTGGCATGGTGGTTAAAGTGCTGGATTTCCACATGGCCGACTGCAGTTCAAATCCCAGACCTGATGGCTTGCTGTCTCACTTTCTCTCTCTTTCTCTCTGGTGTTTGTGCATGTGTGCCCTGTAGCAAATTTTAAATAATAATAATAATAATAATAATAAATAAAATTAAATAATTTTAATAAATAAAATAAAACAATCTTAAACTAATCATTGCATATATTTTTTGATGAGTTCTGATTGTAAAGTGTTTTCAGGATGTTGGGTGCCATCCCCAAAATGCATGAAACTACCAAAGCTGTTGGCATTTAATTGCAGCAATTTAAATTGTTGATTTCATTGTGGATAGTTATCTCGTTTGATTTTAATAGAGAAGTGTAATTTTTTCATCCTTGTAGACAACATCTGGGGAAGATGTACGAGACTTCACAAAGGTTCTGAAGAACAAGTTCAGGTCAAAGAAATACTTTGCCAAGCATCCTCGGCTTGGCTATCTGCCTGTCCAGACAGTTCTTGAAGGTGACAACTTAGAGACGTAAGTTTGATTTTTATCATTAAATCTTCTGTGAACTCTTATAACTAATGTCATTTTTTATGTTAGTGACACAAAGATTGGTTTAATATAGAACATATTTGTGTTTGGGTAAAATATTTCATTTTCAATGAGAAATGAATAACTTTAAAGGGACAAATTCACAACATGAATTTTTACTATTTGCTTTTAACAATGTCACAGATAAAATTCCAGGTTTAACCTTGTCTATGTTCTTAAACTTTGAAAATATGTATTAGTGTGTTAAACTTCATACAAACTAGTCATCTCTTTCATTTGTCATCTCCGTTCTGTGTAAAAATACTTAAACTGTGCTATTATGTGTTATTTTATTCTTATTTTCAGATTTCTCCCCTTCTGAAAGGCGTTTTACTGTTTCTCTTAGTATATTTTACCTTTATTTTGAATCCTTTTAATATAAATTTATATTTAAAACACTAAAGCTCTTGCTTCACATTATGTTTCTAATAAATTTTTTTAGATGAAGGGCAGCAAAATGAGTTAGCTTTATGTATTACATGAAATAGACAAAATTTCTTAAAAGTATAATTTGAGTTGACAAGTATAAATGAGCATTTCAAGATAGCAAAATTACCAAGAGATTATACAACACAGAAAATAAGAATTTGGAGTCTGAAATAAAAAAAATTAAAAAGTGATCTAGAAGAAATAATGTTAGGTTACAAAATGATTATATTTCAGGATCAAAATAGGTATAATTTTAAAGCTTTGAATCACTTCCTAAAATATCAACATTACTATGTCAAGCGTATTTCTTATGTGTGAATCTTGGGGAAAACAAATGTGTATTGTTAATCATCTCTAGGGTGCCCAGTGATATAAAATAATGAGGTTCTGTTGGAGAAAGAGGCCATCTCAAATCACTTTAGAAAAAAACCCTCCAAAGTATGATGCATGATGTTTTCTCCTTTATACAGTGGTGAAAATTGTAGTAAGAAATTTTAAAAATATGTTGAGTGCAATTTTTGTGAAGTGAAACTTAACCTTCAAAATTCATAGTCTGTTTTATATTGTGTGTGTGACAGATAATCCGAATAGAAATATTCCAATGTGTTATGATAGTTAATGTCTCAGAAGTGCCAAAATAGTAGATTAGACTATTTGGTCCTTTTTTCCCTATACATATAAAATCCTGTAGAGCTGGAACTCTGCCAAATTTATGTGCGAGAATATCTTATTTTTGGAAAAGCTAAGAAGTAGAAGGCCATAGCAAAAGCAGAGTCGATACCTTTATCCTGCTACGGGTGATGTCATGTGTGTGTTCATAGAGAAAAACCTTATGTAGACTTATATTTAGATAGGTCTATATATAATATGTATACAAAGAAAGAATTGAAACTTTCTGACCACTCCATTTGATATTAAACTGTGTACAATGAATGAATGCATGTGCCTTCTTAACTGTGCTTTTCTTTTTTTGTTTCTTTGCATCATATGCTTTAAAATGAATTTTATTAAAGCAATTTCAGTTTAAAGAAATGCATTCGGGAAAGGCAGACTTTGGTTCTCTGTTTTGTGGGTCTGCTTTTGTACTTATCTTTAAAAGGTTGTTTGATAATGCATTCTTATTCCTTTTAGTATCCAATATGCAGTTTAATAGACCTGAGCATCTTATGATAAAGATGAAGTTTTACATTTCTTTGTATCTAATCCAATTAACCTTAGAGTTGCTGCCTGAAGCCTAGAATTATCAGGTGGTGCTTTAATTTACAAAATAATTTTATAGGTTTGAACTAAGTGATGTGCATTTTATACTTTTGATAAACCACTGGCCTTTTATGTCCCAAACATCTCCATTCTTCCTGTGAAGCATACAGAGAGATGTTTAATACTCCTTTTAAACATTTTTAATCACTTGTCTTTCAATGTCAAAATAATCATTGGCATCAATCATTCTAGTCTGAGTGGCTGTGTTAACAGAAAAGCATGCCAAATAATGATTTGCTATGATTTTCAAGTGTAATTCCAAAAATGCTTCACCTCGCTAAACATGACTTTACCAACATGTTTTATCAGAGAGAAACAAGAAAAAGCGGAAGGAGCATAAAATTAAAGTAGATGCTATAAGATTTTTTAAAATTTTATTTAACTTTATTTATCCATTTATTTATCTTAATTTGATGAGAGAGACAGAGAGAGACAGAGAGAGACAGAAAGAGAGAGAAAGTGAGAAAGCAAGCTGTCAGACCCAGGACTTGAACCACGGTCAGGCATGTGGGAGTCCAGCACTCTTACCATTTATTTATCTTAATTTGATGAGAGAGACAGAGAGAGACAGAGAGAGACAGAAAGAGAGAGAAAGTGAGAAAGCAAGCTGTCAGACCCAGGACTTGAACCACGGTCAGGCATGTGGGAGTCCAGCACTCTTAACTGCCACCTGCTGGCCCCCATGCTACGATGTTTCCTTTAAAAATATTTATAAGCTACTGAACACAGGGGTCAGATTTTCTTCTTTTTGTAAATGTTAGGACGGACTTTCTTGGTGTCCTGTAGTCCATTTTTCTGCTGAGCTTTTTCTAGAAAAGCGCCACTTAATCTTCTGGTGTAACAATTATGTGAGTGGGTTATAAACAGTTTGATTTCATTTGTTCTCTTATTTGTGGGAGAAGAACTTTGAACGAAAAACAGTGAAGTGGTAAATGTGTTGAAGTTCTTTATAAGGTTGATTAGAATTTTTTTTCCTTGCTTCTTGGGCTTTCATCCTTTTTGCAAAAGGTAATGTCTTACCTTCTGACCAATAATTATACATGCATCAATGGAGGGGGTTTATGATGAAAAAAAAAGAGTTATTGCTGAAAGGAGATAGACAAACCTATGCTAAGGTTTATTCAATTGATTTTTATAACTTATTTATAGAAGATTTTTTTAAAAATAAAATACACAGGAAGAGTTTAATGAAAGACATTGAAAATAAAGCTAAGAAACAAACTGGGGAACCAGCAGTTGGCGTGATGGCTGTGTCGCTGGCCTCCCACGTAGTCGACCGCGGTTCGCGTCCTGGACCCGGTGGCTTAAAACTCACGCTGGGCGCGTGTGCGTGCGTTCCCAGGATCCCGAGAGGAGAATGGAGGAGAAGGGATTGCGGCGTGACCATCCCCCCTGGAGGGTGATTTCTCGCTTTCTGTCTCTAATGTCTCTCTCTGTCTGGCGAGCGCACGCGCCCTATAGTGAAAATCTCTCTCTCAAAAAAAAAGAAACAAACCGAAATAGTGGCAGAAGTTACTTGACAGTTGTAAGGGATTATTATGAGGTTAAAAGGGAGGTTGGTTTACCTAGAGATTAAGAAAGTAAAATAGAGGGACCAGCAGTTAGCATAATGGCTATGTTGCTGGACTCCAATGTAATCGACTGCTGTTCGAGTCCCGGACCTGGTGGCTTAAACTCACTCCAGGCGCATGTGCGTGCGTGCCCGGGATCCGGAGAGGAGAATGGAGGAGAAGGGATTGTGGTGTGGCCATCCCCTCGGGGAGGTGATTTCTCACTTTCTCTCTCTTTGTCTCTCTCTGTCTTTCTGGTAAGCACATGCAACCTATGGCAAAAACCTCTCAAAAAAAAAAAAAAAAAAAAAAAAAAGAAAAAGAAAGTAAAATAGACACCTCTCCCTGATATTGTTAAGGTGGAATAGATGAGTTTGGTTTAAGTGCTTACAAAAGGAAGTACCAACTCGTAGCAAGTGTGATTTTGTCTGTAGCAACACTGGACTGGGAGGAGTGACAGCTAAGCTGAGTTCTGAACAATTAGTAGGACCAAGTGTTGAGTGTTTGGTGTAGATGGAGGAAAGGGAGAGTTTCTGGGGCCAAAGAAGCATTTTCCAAAGCCTATAGGCAAGAGAGTCTTAGAAAGTGATATATAAAGCTGAAAATACGATGAAATAAGAGTGGAGAGAGAAGCAGGAACCAGGTAATGAAAGGCCTATTAAGCCATGCTAAGTTGTTTGAAGTTTGTTCTGAGAGCAGTAGGGAGGCACTGAGAGTCTTTATGGAAGAGCATTCTGGGATGCACTTGTCCAGTGCTGGGGCAAATGGATTGAAGAAGGGAGAAGATCTGACACATTAGTAGTAGTCTGCTGAGAACTTAAGGTACTTAAATGGGTCACTAAGTATTTCAGGGTCTGGATTACATTTCATGTAAAATGAAGGGTCTTCAAAGCATTTGTGGAAAATACATATTATGAAAACTTTGCATGGATTTCCAATTTTTTGCACCAAAATATACTTTCTGGTTTTCTACCAATTTTTTGAATGCCTGTTATATTAAGTGTATTTAGTAGAGTCTGAATCTTTTCATAGACTACTGTGTAATTAACCAAAACACCCTATTCAGCCACCACACTACAAAGCAGGGATGGGCTCCATTATTAAACTGAGTTAACACACAAATTGGTCTTATTTTTACCCCCCTTTAATCATATGCTCTAACTATCCAACGCCTTGTTTTTTCCTTCCAGAATTAAATGAGAAAGCTTATCACTTAATGTTTTCTTCATACAAACCAAAATACTTTGAAGTCAATGAAGCCTAAAGTTTGATGGTCCTTAATCTGTTTCTTTTCTTAGAAAATGTCCAAATATATATTTTAAAAAGAAAACCTCTTTTGAGAAATGCTTCAGTTCAGCTTTCTGCCCCTTATCTTAGTTCATAAATCATTTTTGTGCTAACTGAATTAACTTCACAAGAACCAGTCAGGCAGCTTTACAAAGTTTTCCAAGGGCTATTAAGATCAAAAATATACATTTTTCTTTTGTTCAGAGCTCATGGTAAATGTCCTGGTGTATTTTTGAAATAATCTCTTAAGTAGTTACTGTGTTTAGAAAATGTAGAGCAAGTCACACACACTTGTCTATTTCTTTGTTAATGAAAAGTAATGATGTAAAAGAATATTGACTAATACTGTGTGGTTTGTTTTTGTGTCTGTTTCACACAAGTGTAATTAAATCTACTTATAGTATAATTATTCTGACAAATTCAGAGTAGATAAATACCCAGTTTTGAAAGTAAGTCCAAAAGTCTTGGTTTTTCATCCTATTAAGATGACCTTCTAATTCTTTGTCTGTCTCTCTGTTTGCCATAGGGTGTGCACACTTGCCAGAAAGAGAGGAGAGAGACAGGGAGAAAGACAAAGGGGGAAACACCTTTGAGAGAAGGATTTCCATGCCAAAACTGCAATCTCTTCTCCTCAATCCTCTCCTTGTGATTTTGGGCACATGCACACATGTGCCTAGCAGTGTGTCCTTCAAACCGTTTCATCTAGGACTTGAACCCCGCAGTAGGCCATATGGGGTCCAGTGCTTTAACCGCTATACCACCTGCTGGCTTCCAGAGAGGTGTATTTTAAGCCACTGGATCTGAGAATTGAACCATGCAGTAGGCCACAGGGTATCCAACTGCTGCAAACACCATCCCATTGACTGGGCTCTTGCTATCTCTTTTTAATCTTGGCTATGGCAATATCAACTTGCACTTCACAGTATGAGATAATGAGATCATTAATGTTTTCCTACGTATGTATATATAGTAAAAATAGAAGAATTAAGAAGGCCCAGAACAATGTTGTTTCAATCAGCATTGGCTTTTAGAGGGGACTTTATTTTTTTCTAATTAGAGAACTAAATATTTTGTGCTTTTAAATTTCAACATTTATCAGTTATCCATTCCTTCCCCCAAAAAAGTTAGGGTTTAGGTTTTAATTAAGGATCGATTATTTTCAAAAATATTTCAAAGAAACTTGATTCACAGGGAGTTTATGAGAATGGGAGGTGATCCCAGGGATAAGAGTGATACTGAACGATCCAGCTCCAGCAAAGTCCCTGATCCAAGTAGAGCAAATTTTCCTTTGTCAGTATCTTGAATTGAACTTCTGGATACATTTTGTTTGAAGAAAGTGTATCTTGATCAAGAAAAGTTTCTTTGACTTTTATCAGTGATGCAACATTTTTGGCGGAGCATAGGGGTTGGTATCTAGTTTGTATTTCACAGACACATTCTCATTGTGTCTGTAAAGTGAAGATACTTTACATATACATAGATTGGATTTTTTTTATTTAAAATTGGACAAGATTAAAAATCCCACAGCGAAATCTAATTTTATTACAATTTCTTTGCCTTCTTTATATAATGTAGTCTTCAGTATTTGACTTCATCCTTCTGGCTGAGTTTCTTCTCTTAGAAAAACAAAAACATGAGTATATCTACCTCAGTATATTTTGGAATGTTATCTTTAAAAGAATTTTTAAAATTTTGAGCTATTTTAGGGCTTTCTATTTTTAACATTTTTTTTTCCAGTAAAGCTATTTAAAGATATTTTTCCTGTCCTGTAACAAATATCCTGGAATATCCTGAAAATGCCCCTGCAGATACTTACACACACAGCATCTTTTCTAGAATAAATTGACTTCTGTTACTTTTGATTTCCTGGTGGTGGACACCAGGGCAACCACATATATGAATGGGAGACGATTGAGGATGCCCTCCATCCACCCCCACTACTTCTGTCTAAAATTGCTCTAAAATGTTTGTTCTGTGACTTTTGTCTCCCTTTCCCCTCTTTGCAGTCCTATCACTCTCATCAGTATGTGGCCAGAGCACTATGAGTGAGTATTCACACTTCATATGCAGGAGATGGATGTTCAGATCAATTGCACTAGCATGGGGGTGATTACTAAACCCTTATCCTAAAATAATACTTCTGTATCCTGGGTAACAATCCTACTGGTTTGTTTGCATGGCAAATTCATTCTTTAACTAAGCTAACACCATTTCTAATAGTAGCATATATCACTACGTGGGCATAAGTGTTGCTTTGTTTTTTTCCTTTATAGCCCTTCGCAATCCCCTCAGCTGTTTCATGATGACACCCATTCAAGAATAGAACAATACGCCACACGGTAAGACACTTCCATAGGCGCCCTCCACTGCACTGCCACCCAGAATGTATTTGTTTCTGTACTAATCTGATACCATCACCATGTCTTGATTTAGGGAATGTAGTTTTGTAGTTGCACTTTACTGAACACCTGCTATGTATTCTATGAAGAGTAAATCTCAATAGGATGTGGTTATCAAGCTCTTAAGAATCCAAACATTGTACAAGTAGCATTTAGACAATGTAATGCAATTTTGGTGAACAAAGGGATTGAAAGCATTCTTAAGAGATGGTACACATATGCAATACAATATGTAATAGCGTTTATGCTAATGATTTATGGTAAGAGTTTATTTTAAAACCCTAAACAATGTAAATCATAGGTTAGTCTTGATGGTGTGTGCACACTTCCAGAAAAGTATTGGATCAGAAAAGGCATGATTCATTTTTGCATAGAAAAATAAGTCATGACTTTCTGATGACCTGATAGTATGTATAAGGTGTCTGCAGTCCTAGTAAACAGCTCTCCCTGAACAGGTTACTTCAATCTGCAGGGAGAAAGGGGATAATGAAGTGAGAGTGAGTGAAAGGATAGAAGCTGAAGTTCTTTAATGAAGGGTCCTGCTGCTTAGGGGCTGGATCATGTCCATAGGTAAAGGGAAGTCATATAAAGTCTTTAAACATGAGAGGAAAGTAGTTAGATTTATAGGAGACGTGAGAATGTAACCTTCCCTTCACTATAGATGACTGACTGAAAGGTCTGGGAGATCAATTAGGAGACTAGGTCAATTAGAATACCATACAACATGTGCAGCACAGAGGCCTACAGACTGTAGGACAGTGCTGATCAGAATTCAGTCAACATCGGCTATTTTAATTTACAGTCTTGTTAAGAGATTTTGACCTTTTTTTGTTTTGCTAGAGTTTTGACTATTTAAGAATGACTAAGGATGTGCCCCTAATTGACCAGGTTGTATATGGCCATGTTATCTAACCTTATTTTCATTTTTCAGACTGGCCCAGATGGAAAGGACTAATGGGTCTTTCCTCACGGATAGCAGCTCCACTACAGGAAGTGTGTAAGTAAATCATGAAATTAGTACCACCCAGGAAGGCTAGTTCTTTCACTGTGGCTATTTGAAATAATCTTCAGACTTTGGCTCTGAATTTTGATCCCAATCAAAATTTTAAGTGTGGGTCCAAAAACATCTGCATAGATTTTATACTTTCAAGCCATGATAGTTTAAACCTGCCATGTGGGACCAGGAATCCCACATGGCCAGCCACAGTTCAGGTCCTGGACCCAGCGCTTCAAACTCAGGCTGGATGCATGTGTCTGTGTGCCCAAGATTCCTAGAGGAGAATGGAGGGGAAGGGATTGTGGTGTGTCCATCTCCCCTAGAGGGTGATTTCTCACTTTCTGTTTTTCTCTCTCTGTTGCTCTCTGGTGAGTGCATGTGCCCTATAGCAAAAATCTCTAACGACGACGACAACAAAACCTGCTATATTTGTTTACTTAGTTCCATATGAGCTACATTGGGCAACTATTCTACCTCAGGAAAACCGTATCATTTTATTTATAATACCATATCAAGCTATATCATTTTGTTTATAATACAGGTATTTATGTTTATTCCACTTTTCTCATATTTCTTGTTAATTTAACAAATGTAATTCCACAGAATGCTTGCCCTTTCTATAAATCCTTTCCCTTCTGCTTGCCAACATTTTTCCCATAATCTCTGCCTTTAACACTCTGAGACACACATGCTTAACTCTCCTCCTTTCCCTGAAGAGTATTAACTCCCGTGCCAATATTTTGTTTTATTTTATTGTATTTTATTAGAAAGTAGGAAAAGTGCACTGACTTTAGGATACCTTTTTAAAAATGATCTAGCCAAGTCTTTTATCTTTTTTTTTTTTTTTTGGAGAGGTTTTCGCTATAGGGCGTGTGCGCTCGCCAGACAGACAGAGAGACATAGAGACAGAAAGCGAGAAATCACCCCCCGGGGGGGATGGTCACGCCGCAATCCCTTCTCCTCCATTCTCCTCTCGGGATCTTGGGCACGCACGCACACACACCCGGCGTGAGTTTTAAGCCACCAGGTCCGGGACGCAAACCATGGTTGACTACATGGGAGTCCAGCGACATAGCCATTACGCTAACTGCTGGTTCCCACCAAGTCTTTTATCTTTGATTTTCACATTTATGTGGATTCAACTTGAGTGTGGAACTTCCTCAGCAAATATTTCATCTTTATTTTTTTCCATCCCTGTGAGACATACAGCTTTTGGAACTTTTTTCCTTTTTGCCATGGAATTCACATTTCTATACAGAAAGGTGTCTAAAGGACTTCAAAAGTGTCAAATTTATGTGACTTACCCAGGTTCATTGTGGTTTGAATCTGTAGGGAGCTATAAGGTAGACAGGAAAGTTGTAGAGCATTATACTTAGGTATCTTCACTAAAAAAGACTATGGAGTGAGCCAAATTGGAATTCCTTAAGCACTTTAATCTAAGATGTTTTTAATGTTTCAAAATGATATTTTAAAAAATATCATTTCGATTAAAAATGAAAGTTCTCAGGAGGAATTTTTTTCACTTAAATTTCAAAATTTAGCATTTTAATACTTGACAGAAAAACAATAGTGATTTAGACATTATTATGCATGTACTATGAGTGTAGAACAATTCCCAAGTCAAGATAATAGCATATCCATTATTCTTATTTTGTAATCAACCTACTAGTATGCATTTTATATAAAGTAGTTAAATGTCTTGAATACCTCCTAAATCAACATAATTTCCACCAAAGTTGACAGTAGTGAAAGAATGAAATGAAATGAAAAATAATAATTAATACCAAGATCTTACTTCTTTAAAATGTGTTAGTTGGGCAGCCAGTTGCATGTTGCTTAAGGCAGCTGGATGCCACATGGCTGCACACCGACTGGTCCCAGACCCAGCAGGACTACTAAAAGGAGAGAGAAGTGGAAAAGCAACTGTGTTGTGACTATCCCCCATGGAGACTACTTTCTCACTTGCCCTCTCTTTCTCTTTTTCTCTGGCAAACCCACATCTCTACTGGCAATTTTTTAAAAAAAATTATTTGTCATGCCCGCTAAACAGAGGAAAGGTAATACCCAGATTTAGTATATACTATTTTTAATTTAGAATAAGTACTGTTTATTCTTAAATTAAGCTGTAGTGTTTTGGAGAAGAAAAACAATCAGATGATTAATAGCTGAATACATTTTAAAAAATCATTAGGTATATTCATTCATTCAACCATCCAGAAAATATTTATTATGTACCTACTGTGCAACTGGTATGCAGGAGCCAATTGTGAAAATTGATTGTTAAATTTTCAGCACTTTGTTGGGGGCCAGCAATTGGAGTAATGGTTATGTCGCTGGACTCCCATGTAGTCAACTGTGGTTTGAGTCCTGGACCTGGTGGCTAAAACTCACACCGGGTGCATGTGTGTGCATGCCCAAGATCCTGAGAGGAGAATGGAGGAGAAGAGAATGTGGCGTGGCCCTAGGGGTGATTTTTCACTTTCTGTCTCTCTGTCTTTCTGGTGAGCACACGAGCACTATAGCAAAAACCTCTCAAAAAAATATTTTTTCAGTACTTCGTTAAACAGAACCCTTATTAAAATTTAATTGAAGGCTAGTCCCATAGTTTAGCAGTCAAGTCCTAGCATAGAAAAGCTAGATCCCACCTGGCCAGCCACAGTTCAAATCCTAGTCCCCATAGCTTGAAAATCATGTTGGGCATGTGAGCCTAAAATCCTGATGAAGTAGAGAAACAGAAAAGAAAGGATGGCAGCATGACCACGTCCCATTGAAAAGTGCTTTGTCCCTTTTTCTCTCGCTCCCAGGTAAATGTACATACCCTCTAGCAATTAAAAAGTTAATTGACATGCATTTATATATAGTTACAATCAAGTAAGTTAGATATAAATAAAAAACAAAGATTGGGCCAGCTGGTGACATGGTGATTAAGGCTCTGGACTCCCACATGGTAGACCACCGTTTGAGTCCTGGACCTGGCAGCTTGCTTTCTCTTTCTTTCTCTCCCTCTCCTCTGTCTGTCTCTCTCTGGTGAGCATATGAGCCCTATAGCAAATTTAATTAACTAGTTAATGGATTTAAAAAAATAAATAAATGAAAACAAAAGTAATATTCAATATTCATTATGCCCTATTATTTCAGTTCATTTTGCTATTCTATTTTGGGGTTATTTATTATATTTGAAATTGTGTACAATTATGTATCTTTTCCCAGAACCACATTTAGTGAAGTCATTAGTTCTAAATTGGTCTTGATGAAAATATTTTAACTGTTACTTTAAATAGCAATAAGGACTTGGCCAGTGTGATTAAGTTAAGGATTTTGAAGTAGGGAGATGATACTGGGTTATAGAGGGAGGGGGAAGAATCAGAGAAGGAGACACAGTGGTGGAAGCAGCGAGTACATGAAGAAATTGTAGATGGTGGGAAGCTGCCTTTGCACTGAGGACTGCAGGTGGCTTCAACATGCAGGAAGAGACAAGGAACAAATTCTTCCACATACATATGAAAGATTAAATTAAATTAATAGTTTAAGAATGTTTAAACCCCAAAGAGAAATTTCTTTCCAGTTCTTAGTGCACTCATATTTTCTTAATGAATATGTTAAGAAATTTCATTTTATTAAAGACAATGGAGGAGGTTCTTTGCTCTCTCACATGTCAAATTACAAAAAAAAATAAAAAGAAAAGATAAAATTACTGAGTAGTTTGGGGTTCTTTTCTTGCAAAAATGCAGTTAATTCTACCATTTTGCTAAGGATGCTAGCAGACAGTTGGAATCATTGAAGTCTTACTCTGGACCTAAAATCCAGTGTTTTGACTTAAATGTATATTTACTTGCTTAAGCATGTCTGTTTTAATCATTTTTACTGACTCGATGAGGTGAGTAGGTATTAGTATAATAAATACTACAGCATCACAATAGGCTTTCAGCATTTTCTCACTGCTGTTCCTGTCTAACTTGGCAATAGCTTTGTTATGTGGCAATCTATTTCCCTGTCCTTTTTCTTGCAGCGTAGCAAAGCACCTACTTTCTAACTTACTAAAGGGACAACCTGGGAGGCAGGAGCTGGTGTGGTGGTTAAGGTACTGGATTCTCACTGGCTGCCTATGGTTCGAGTCCCAGACCCAGGGGCTTGAAAATCTCACACACACTCACAGAAGGAGGATCTGTTATTCAGCTAGTCGGGATAGACAATTTACATAGTCAAGGGTAATTTTTTCTTCCTCGTAAGGTCACCTCCCTTTCGGATATAAAGGGAAGAGGGGTGTGGGATCATGTACTACTCCTTCCCAAACTCTCTGTGACCGCAGACTTTCCACTTAGGTGTCTCCCTTCTCTGTATGGGTCCCTGCTTTCTTTGCCGCTGTTCCCGGTGCCAGCCTCCACATTTGGGCTGCCCCCCACTCTATGCATGCCACTGTATCTATAGACATCATCTTTGAGTGATGGAAAAGGTGTATGTGGGCTTTCCCACAGCCCCCAAGACAGTGCGCCCTTCATTAACCCCAAACACTATTACAGTTAGATATGTAGATACATTCAGTTCCTTTAAGAATGGTAGAAAATGTGGGACCAGCTATGGTGTAATGGTTACATTGCTAGACTCCCCCTTGGTTCAAGTCCCAGACCCAGCAGCTTAAAACTCTTGCAGGCACATGTGCGTGTGTGCCCAAGATCCCGAGAGGAGAGTGGAAGAGAAGGGATTGCAGAGTGGCCATGCCCCCAGGGGTGATTTCTCACTTTCTGTCTGTCTGTATCACTCTGTCTCTCCAGTGAGCACACAGACCGAATAGCAAAAATCTCTCTCTAAAAAAAGAAGACTGGTAGAAAATTTAAGGAAGATGCTATAAACTCTTTCCAAAAAAGTTTCTTTGTATCATCTAAGGCAGATTTTTCCCAAAATAGTGGTATATGACATAATAGAGAATTTTAAAAGAATTTTAATAATTATGTGCTTAGTTTAATATATAGTCCAACCTATGTACAAAGCAGGTCAATCAG